AGAGAAAGAGAACAAAGATCAGATATTTTTGTATTTATTTACACACCAGAACAAATAGAAAACGGAAGCTGTGAAAACAACGTTCAGGGATTCAGAGATCAAGCAGTGTAATAGACTCGTTTTTCAGGAAAGCATTAGAACTGCAAATATTTTCGAGGTACTCTTCTGGGATTTGTTTTTGTTTTCAATTTCTTTTGTGTATGCTTATATCATTTGGAGAAACTAGATGAGATCAACTTTAGGTTTGGGTTATATACTGTATAATTAGACTGTAAATTATTTAGGTTCCTATAAAATCCATAGCACTAATTTTTATTGGAATCCTTTCCACGTTTTTATTTTATTTTATTTGAAGCAATACAAAACCAAGCAATACCGATCGTTTTTCTATTCTTTGTTCCCAAACCACGCATGATTTGTACGCAGAACTAACTCTTTCCCATTTCTATTTCTTGTAAATCGTACCAAAACAAAAGATTTCAAGAGGTTTTCATTTTCTACTCTCGTTTTATAGATTTTCCAAAGATGTATGTTTTCAATTGAAAGTAAATTAAAAGGAAGAGTTTAGTGTTTACCTAGGAGTCGGTCGCCGGAGTTGAAGCCATCGAGATAGAGAGACTCGAGTGATAGAGAGCAACGGTGGTCGTTTGGCTTCGGTTGAAGTCCAATAGCGGTCGGGGTTTAGTGCGGTCACTGTTAGGGGGTCGACAGATGGCCATGGTGATTGAGGTTTTGAGTGTGGGTTTGGAGAAGAGACATTGAGAGAGAGAGAGAATGCAGCTGATGGTAGGGAAGGAGAAGTGAGGATAGGGTTTGATTTTTACCTAGGTTTTAAACTTATAACACTGCCAAAACGGCAGCGTTTTGGGTGGCTGGTTCGCATGGTGTATCTACGATATAAGTCATTAGAGTTCTCGGGTTGATGCAATTTGGTCCTCAGATTAAATTTTTTCAGGCTTCTGTTTGTGTCTTTATATTTCATGCGTCTTTCATTTTGGTTCGCCCTTATGTTGTTTATTATTTTTATATTTAATCTGTAATTTTGTTAGTTGACATTTTAGTCCTAGGTCAAAATTTTCATGTTTATAATTTTGTTACTTTGTTTCATGCACATTTAATTTTAGTCATTTGTATGTGTAGGGTTTATTCTGTTTTTAGTCTATTAGGATAACAAGGGTTTTTTTTGATTTCAATACTTAAAATGGTTTAATGTTTGTTTTATCTCAATTATTATTATTTCTATAATTAAGATGGTAAATTTATGTTATGTATTATTTAGTATTTAGTTTAAACATTTTACTTGATTTCTGAACTTTTTTAAGTGTTATGATTCGTTTTCTTTATTTTAGTCATATTTAGTTATTTGTGTAAATATTTGTATAGTTTATAATTTATATTTTAAAAGTATGTATATATTTTTAATTATTTAAATGTAGCATTGCACGATAATTTCATACATTATTTAGTAATTAGATGTAATATATCCTTCTTTAATTAAGTTTTCCATGGTATCCTTTTTGCATAATATGCATGATATCTTCACGAGCATAACTCGACATATCACATAATTGGAATAAGGGTAATATGCTTTTAATTTAAAATTGTTTTAAGTGGGCAGTCATAACTGATTTGAGGTCTGCTTTTAATGATTTTAAAATAAAAGTGTATCTCATTAGTGACGCCTAAAAATTGATCCATCACTCTAAAATTTGGGAACAAAAGAAAATGAAATGTTCGTTTATTTAAATTTACCGAGAAAAGATTGTTATAACTTTTAAGATCTGGTCTCGATATTTGTAAATAATCGAACATTCTTTATCTTTCTAAAACGACTTGGTAATTTTAATTTAATTTATTTGAGTGCTTTTGAATGCTTTTTAAATTTACATCTTTGCTTTATGGGATCAAAAGCCAAATTAAATTCGAATTTGTAAAGTTCATTACAAAGATGTTAATTAATCGACTAGGTACCGATTTAAGGCGTTGTGGGGGTGCTAATCCTTCCCCACACGTAACCGACTCTCGAACTCATTTTTTTGGCAACGCAGACCTCAATTTATTGTTTTAATTAAAATTAATTTTTATTTAAAATGACAAAGCATTTTTGGATGCCCAATCACACCCTAATCAAAGATTGGTGGCGATTCTTCGAACCGTATTTTTCGATCGTAAAGGAAATCCACAATTTTTCGAAACGATAGGTCTTTTAAATCGCATTTGTTTTTAAATTAAAAAGAGATAATTAAGAATTAATGTGGTTTTTAAATCTCACTTTTAAGAAAAAAATCGTTTCAACATCCTTAATATGGTTTTATCAAATTAATTGGTTTTTATAGTTTTATTGTTAATATTGTTCATATACTAGGAGTCATTCTTTTGGTTTGCTTCTACTTCTGTTCTTTCCCTGAGATTTTGCCTGTTGGATCCATGTTTAATAGGAAATAATAGTTCATTTTTCATATTATGTTTTGGTTTTTAGACATTGCTATTATAGATTTGAGGTCAGTACTTGGAATTGATTCTGTCCCATTTTAACATCAACGTAGTGTTGGATTTGAAGAAAGAGGCTAAAAGTCCCATTTCACTGGCTAACTTGTTTGAAGTGGTTGCTAATGACCTCCAGACTCTAAATCAAAATCTCCAGTCAGTACGTGCTCATCGAGGCTTTAATTCTTATGTGTCCTTTATAGTTCTGTTATCATATATAAAATTTTCTGCATGTTTGAAATGATTTTGTTCAAGATGGTTGTTCAAGGTTTTGCACGTACCGGTTCGCCATGTGAGGCCAGATGAATTGACTTATTGTATTTATGATGAAATGTTTGCTTGTTAAATTATGTATATCCCCATTAACTTGTTTACTTAGGATCGGCTTTTTGATATGATTCTTAGAAGTTGTTGATGTTAATTGTGTATCTGATGATGATGGTCTACTAGATTGTTGGTGCAGAGAACCCTATTCTAAAGTCTGCAGCCGAGCAGATCTTTGGTGCTGGTGGTAAGAGAATGAGACCGGCCCTGGTGTTCTTGGTTTCAAGAGCTACAGCAGAGTTAGCCGGATTGAAGTAACCTGTCGGGACTCTCTGACATATTCAGAACGTTTAAGTTCGAATACTAGACTAATCTCCATTTTGTACTGCTTTCTTTAACAGGTACCTTTCTCCATTTTGTACTGCTTTCATCTTTGTTATTTCTTAGCTATTAAAGAGTCACGTAAAACTTCATGTTCTTCGCAATATCTGAGACTACGTTCGAGTCTTCAATACCCTTGTCTAAGGGCAAAGAAAAAGTTTCTATTTCAGTATATACAAGAATCACATATATACCTGTGGGACAACTATGTTCATTGTACACCTCTGTACACGTATATAACAAATTTTTGTAGTTGTGGTGGTTGTGGTTGAGAGATCAAGCTCTGGCCACTTTTCTTGTCTGTGAATGTTAGGGAGAGGAACTACTGCATCTACCATTCCATAGGATGGTTCAGACTAGGAACTGTTCAGTTTTAACTCAGTGGTAAATGTAATAGTAATAATAGAAAAAACTCATGGGAAGAACTTGATTTTCTCGGATATATTTTTTCTCCTAGTCTTTCATCACTCGAGGGGCTGCTGATTTGAGACTGTATGTTAACTTGCAGGAAAAGAGACTGTTCACCAACTGTATGGCACAAGAGTAGCCGTACTGGCTGGGGACTTCATGTTTGCTCAGTCGTCATGGTATCTTGCAAATCTTGAAAACCTTGAAGTCATCAAGCTTATCAGCCAGGTGTGTAGTATGACCTATGCCTAACATACCATCTTGTTCGGATGTAAACCCCTGTAACATGATATTTGACTCAAAGTTTCCACCCGTGGGGATTGGAAATGTGCTCTGGTTATGGAGTTAGTTTCGGTTAAACTTGTATGAATCGTATCCTTACCATGATATTGCAGGTTATTAAGGATTTTGCCAGTGGTGAGATTAAGCAGGCATCGAGTTTGTTTGACTGTGATGTCGAACTTGAGGAGTATTTGCTCAAGAGTTTCTACAAAACAGCTTCATTGATTGCAGCTAGTACCAAAGGAGCGGCTATTTTCAGTGGGGTGGATCGAATTGTAACCAAGCAAATGTATGAATTTGGAAAGAATCTTGGCCTATCATTCCAAGTTGTTGATGACATATTGGATTTCACACAAGCAGCAGAGCAGCTGGGGAAACCAGCTGGTAGTGATCTAGCAAAAGGCAACCTCACAGCACCTGTAATTTTTGCGCTCAAAAAAGAGCCAAAACTTAGAGAAATCATTGAATCCGAGTTCTGCGACACTGGCTCCCTCGACGAAGCAATCGAAGTAGTAAAGCAATGTGGGGGAATTGGAAGGGCACAAGAGTTAGCAAAAGAGAAAGCCGACATCGCAATCAAGAATCTCCAATGTCTCTCTCAAAGCAATTTTCGGTTAGCTCTGCAAGATATGGTGATGTTTAATCTCGAGAGGATTAATTAGTTTAGATAATCCAAAACAAACAACCTCGGAAATGACAAAAGAAACAAGGCATGAAGTTGAAGCCTGTACCCATATAGAACAGCTTCTCTTAGGACTCTCACTGGTTGTATATATTTGTCTTGAGCTCCGAGCATCAGTTTCTTTAAATTATACATTTGTCTGAAACAAAGAATAATTCTCTGTTAAATTAAATTGATGAACAAAAGAGTTTTTGAGGTCATCAATGTTAAGCTAATAAACTTTCATTTTCAAGTACATGGAAGTGATTTGGTGTACGATTTCTTTGGCATCTTACATTTATCTTGTTGCCAGTAATCCGTTTCGACTCACTTTTGCATGTCATAAAACCATTTTCTTTCAGTATATTTTGGAGAAGAAACTTTTATTGCTTTAAAAGCAAAGATCATGCTCAATTGACTCAACCATATTATATGGTGATACATGCCTTATTTGTGAACTTCATCGGCTTTTAATGATTCAGAATTTTGGGGGTATTTGACATGTCATTACAACTTAACACAATCTCTACTTTTTTCCATTGGCTTAATATAAATCTATGTAGAAGTTTTAAATTTAACAATCTGTGCATTGCTATCAGAGCAACGATGATACACAAATATGTACTAATGTTCCATAACATGCATTGTACATATACTTCACAAGGATTCTTCTACCAAATTGTCAACATGATTGCTTACAAGAAAAAGGTGTATACCTTATTTTCACACATATGCACGACCCGGAAGAATTTATCAATCATCGATTCCCTTTGTTACACCGAGGACAATAGCAATTGTAGCAAGAACAGCCTGCACAAACAGCAGCAGTGGAGTTGATCAGTTATAAACTTCATTACCAATCCCAACTCCTATACATAATTTATCATGTAGAACATAATACATATTACCAGTATGTGTGTATATCTATATCAATGACAGTTGATAGTCATTTCAGTACAGCATGGCTTTCGTAAAATTGAGAAAGACTGAAACAGAAATGATACTCACAGCAATTGTGCAAGCAATATATCCCGGTTTCTCTCGGTGGTCAATCCTCTCCCTCGCACAAAGTAGCAATAACAATCCAATGTACCAGGGGATTGCCCCAAGGAAAAAGCCAATGATAAACCTTCAAAAGAAAAAAAAAGGTATATTCCTGTTATAGATCAAGAATCATAAGACAATTCAAGGGGTAGCTACGAATTCAGGAAACAATAACCAGTACAATAACAAATATTATGTGGATTTGTATAAAAATACATGTCATGTGTGGATTGTGCAGCAGATTCGGGTTGAGTACAACAATTGGAGGTGGAGGAAAACATATTCTTTAAGTTGTTATTTGGTTGACATTATACCAAAAAAAACTCTTAAAACAATAGAACAGTGTATGACTTACAAGAACCATCCAAGGCCACAGCCGCAGCACGGTAGCCTACGCTCTCTTACAGGTCTTCCTTCAGCAACAGCATAACCTAGATATCAATGGTACATTCACTAATCTTCTTTCTTGAAAAATAGTTATCAACTCAATTATGTAAGAGAAAAGAAAGACACGCCAACTCGAATTGCAAAACTACCAATCTTTCACTATCTTGTGATATGTATCCATGAATCACAACATGCGCATGAGATTCAGCAACCTAAGATTTTCCATCACAATTTCCTGAAAGGTTTTATACATGTTTTGCCTTTATTTCTCATCTTTCTCTGAAATCTATTTCCTTTCTTCTTAAATCTATTATGAGATTTATAGCAAAATATTTCAACTATAATAGCAAAACTTGGATTTCAGCTCTCTTTTCCTTTTTCCCATCAAAATTCACTCATCCTCAATATCAGAAAGTCTTTCTATTGCATCAAAAACAGAACAAAGCCTGCTGTAATTATAAAACTCCTACCAAATAAATACACCTATCTTCTTAAAAAAATGGATTTTTCATCTCAAAAAACATGTTAATCATTCAATAAACAGAAACCCAAATCTCAAAATCCTTCCTTTGATTGCCTAATCACGAAAGAATATTTTTTTCCATATTTGTAGACAAGGCCAACCTGGAACGGTTTGATAACCTTGGGAATAATACTGAGGAGGTGGAGCAGAGGGCTCATGGAGGCCAGGCGGCGGAACAGGCTGAGGAAACCCAATAGCCGGGCCATGATGTTGAGGAGGATGTGGAGGAGGGTAGTTGGCTACTCCTTGGAAAGTTCCATATTGATTATGCTGATGATCTACAACTACAGCTGTGTTTTTCTCGTCACCGCTCATTTCTTTTTCTTTTTTTTCTTTCTTTTTTCCCCTCTTTTGGAGAGTTTTAATGGGGATCTGGATATGCTTATGGATGAACTAGAAAATAAAAAATTATTACTTTGGTATTAAGATTTTTGTTTTTTTAGTGGTTGGATCAGATTGAGGAAGCTACCTCCGCTTAGCTACCAGCTTGTCTTCTCGGCTGACAAATATCATTACGTATTATTAGGGTAAACTACCTCTGTAGTCACTAAACTATAGGTTAGTTCTATTTTCACGGATGATTTATGATTTTTTATCAATTAGGTTATTAAATTATTAAAATAGTTTCAATCAAACCATTGACTCTTAACTGTTAATGGAAAGATTGAAATAGTAATTAAGTAAATTTGTATAGTTACATATTTGTATAATTATAAAGTGCTTAACTTCCACGTCAATTTTTCCGTTAATAGCTTGTTTGAAATTATTTTAGTAATATAGTGATTTAATTGAAAAAATTCTTAGTGAGATGGTTAAAATAAAACTACCGCTGTAATAGTTTAGTGACTGTACATATAGTTTAACCTTATTATCAATAGGGTAAACTATTCAAATAGTCCTCGACTATAACATATTTTTTAATTGCATCTCTAGACTATGGACAAAATAAAATATCATTCGAAGCACTCTAGCAGATACTTTTGCTCTTTAATAAGTTTAATTATGTATGCTTAATATCATAGCTTCTTTGAAAAATCTTTTATAAAGTGTGCAAAATTCTTCGATGCAACACCAGGTGGCTAGATGTATCTTGTAGGTATGGACGGACGTGAGAATTCGTATCAGGTGTGCAAACTTAAGAAATTATATTAAAATTTTTAGGATAAAATTAGATCATCTAACATACAAGAAAAACACTTAAGAGAAATTAAAATTTTTAGGGGGTGCGACCCCTCGATCCATCCGTGCTCGTAGGATTGCTTATGGCAGTTTGTCCTTGCAGAAAAATTTGATAATTATATTATTTACAAAAACATGAGAACTAAATCTGATGAAGATTCCAATGGATGATGCTATGTGACAAGTGTCGTAATTGTCAAATAAATTAAGTTTTTTTCTCAAATAAATAAGCTAAGAACGCAGTATAGAGAAAAAATGATCAATCCACTGAGACTTCAAAATTTCCAATGTTGGTTTGAATTGATCTTGATCCAAAAAAACTGCAAAAGTAAAATAAATGAGGCTTAGCAAAATAATTTGAATAAATTGAAATAAATAAAAAGAAAAAAAGAAAAGTAGATGATTGAAAATAATTATGATGAGATATAGCCTATAGCTTCGTTTCGCCTCGGTTTGTTTCGATTATTGAAATCTGTTTTACTTCGGGATTCTTATTGGTTATAGTCTACAAGATCCAACCCTTGTAACTTGTTATTCTCTCATGTGAGCTAATTTTCCAATGTCAATTCTTAAAATTTAACCTTTGTTTAGATTAACAATGACTATTATTGATGTTAACACTAATGCTACTTTAAAAATCCTACCAAGAGTTCTAATAAAATAATTAATTCCTAAATAAAATAATCAAACTAAAAATCTTAAATAATAATAATAATAATAATAAAATAATCAAACAAAAAATCATAAATCTAAAAGGTTTATCAAAATAAATAAATAAATATTTAAGTTTTATACTTCTGGTTAAATTCTGTTTCTTTTATAGATAACATATGTCAGATAAATTCTAATTAAATAATCAAAATAATTTCGCTCGTCTTCTAAAAAAATATTGATTGGACCATCGAAATTTACTACTTTTTAGACTAATTAATCCAATAAAACTTCTCTCTAAAATAAACCCAAAACAAAAAAAATCAATGATATTCAATAAAAAAACATAGTAAATAACAATAAATGTATACAATATTAAACACTCATCACCATGAACACGCTACAACCAAATGGTTCTGCATTTCAGATTCTCAAGTACGTAGTGTCTCTGAGAAGGATGGAATTTGGATTTAGGGAAAACAAGTTTACATGGGAAATGAATTAAAAAATGGATTTTCTTTTTTTATTGGATAAACTGATTATATATTATCAATTTATGGATTTTTAATTTCTCAATACGATTGATCAAATAAATGACGATTCTTGTTCACAATATGATCATAATCAGGTCAAGGAACTTATTTTACCACTCAGCCATGTTTGAGTTACTGAAATTTACATTTTTAATATAAAAAAATAAGCTCCTTGAATTGTTTCGCAATTTTATCCAAGCTGAAAAGGATACGAAATTAAATACAGTGTTTTCCTATTTGAAAATGACATTATCTAAACCTACTCTGGCGTTGTGGGCTTTGGACCTGATTAACTTGCGCGATTGAAATCTTTATCTATTGGCCAATCCTGATTCCCGATTGTAGTGAATCTCTTCTCACTTCCCATACTAAATCAATCTCTTCTCTCCAATTTGATCTTCTGGGTCTTTGAAGGTTTGAATCTTTGGATCTCCATGGCTGAAGAAAAACCAAGTTCTTCAACAACCACGAGAAGCTACTGGAGATGTAGCAAAAAAGATTTCTTCCCAGAAACCTCGTTTCAATCCATGTCTTCCTACAAAACAGCAATTTCCCAAACCTGTCCTCGTCTCACCGACCGTCTCTTAGCACGTTCCTCCTCCACCAACGAGCTTGTAACCCTTTCGAAAGTGAGTGAAAACCCAATGCAAAAATGTCTAACCTGGTGGGACCTTATTTGGCTAAGCTTTGGCTCGGTTGTTGGTTCTGGCATATTTGTCATAACAGGTCAAGAAGCTCATGATAACGCAGGTCCAGCTATTGTCTTGTCCTATGCTATATCTGGGCTTTCAGCATTGCTTTCGGTTTTCTGTTACACTGAATTTGCAGCTGAGGTTCCAGTAGCTGGTGGTTCATTTTCATATCTTCGTATTGAAGTAGGTGATTTCATTGCATTTATAGCTGCTGGTAATATTCTTCTAGAAGCTTTAGCAGGAGCTGCAGGGTTAGGAAGATCATGGTCTTCTTATTTTGCTAGTATGATCAAGAGTGATTCTGATTTTTTGAGAATTAAGGTTGATTCTTTGCCTGATGGATTTAATCTTTTAGATCCACTTGCAGTTGTCGTACTTTTGGTTGCTAATGGAATAGCTATGAGTGGAACTAAGAGGACGTCTTGGTTGAATTGGGTTGCTTCTTTGGTTAGCGGTGCGGTGATTGTTTTTGTTATAGTTTTTGGGTTTATTCATGCAAAAACTTCGAATCTGGAACCTTTTTTTCCATATGGGGTGAAAGGCGTTTTCAAGGCAGCGGCTGTGGTTTATTGGTCTTATACAGGTTTCGATATGGTGGCAAATATGGCCGAGGAGACTAAGAAACCCTCTAGGGATATACCAATTGGGTTGGTTGGTTCGATGTCTGGAATTACCATTGTTTATTGCTTGATGGCTTTAGCATTGACCATGATGGTGAAGTATAATGAGATTGATGTAAATGCTGCTTATTCTGTTGCTTTTGAACAAATTGGGATGAAATGGGCCAAATATTTGGTTAGTATATGTGCACTCAAGGGAATGACTACAAGCTTGCTTGTTGGATCTCTTGGGCAAGCTCGATACACGACTCAGATCGCTAGAGCTCATATGATTCCTCCTATTTTTGCTTTGGTTCATCCCAAAACTGGAACTCCTGTATATGCTACCCTGCTGGTGACATCAATTAGTGCTATTATTGCATTTTTCTCGAGTTTAGATGTTTTGTCTAGCGTTTTATCTTTCAGTACACTATTCATTTTTATGCTAATTGCTGTTGCATTGCTTGTGAGACGATATTATGTGAAGGATGTTACTCCAAAGGATGTTTTGATAAAATTTCTCATCTGCTTGCTCATTATTATCGGTTCCTCAATTGGAGTTTCAGCACTTTGGAATTCTGATGAGAGAGGCTGGATTGAATACACTGTGGCTGGATTGGTTTGGTTCTCGGGGACTTTGGGAATGGCATTTCTTTCCAAGCAGTGCGTTCCAAAGGTCTGGGGAGTTCCACTTGTTCCTTGGTTGCCATCTTTGTCAATTGTGATGAACATGTTTCTCATAGGATCTTTGGGTCTTGTAGCATTTTTGAGGTTTATCATTTGCAGTGCAGTAATGATAGTGTACTACCTACTTGTTGGCCTTCATGCCACCTATGATGTGGCTCACCAGAATGAATTAAGTGCCTAAAACTGAAGAGGGTAAATGAAGCTGTTACCTTGAGAACAATTCGTGCAGTACAGTGGGGTACAGCATTTTATTGTTGTTTATACATCCCTAGTGTCGTCACCATTAATGTTTGGATATTGTTTAAGTTGTTTACACTTTCCTAGTGTTGTCACTGATAATGTTTGGATATTGTTCAAGTTATATAAATTTTTCGTGGAATATACCACGTTCAGATGAAATATATATTTCTGTGCCTTTTTTGTGCTTTCTTGTTTTCATTTATTCAACTCTGCATATTGGAGAATCCATTACCCTGCCATGACAATGCTTTCTAGATTAGTTATAATGGATAAAGATAGAGATTGAGAATCTCTCTCTTACACACAAATACTCATGGTCTCCCTCATCACTTCCTTTGTTATGCTCTCCGACTGTTTTCCTTTAATCCCTTTCATTTTGCATTGGATATGGGTTTCTGGACCTAATGTGATGAATACCTGATCTTGCATGAGCTATTGCATTGTTCTAGGTTTAGTTTTTTATTACTACGGTTTCCATAGGTGCAGCAGCAGCTGTACTGATCTTGTGCAGGATCTAATGTACCTATTTATGATCATGTCTCTTGGAATGGTGTTTTATTAATTATAAGGAATTAAGATTGGTACTTTATATCTGTGATGGCTATGCTCTAGTGCTAACCATGATGCATAAAGAGAGGAGAATTATGGAATGCCATCTATTCAGCTTCATCGAGGAAAATAGGCTTGAATCATTATTTTCTGTTTGTCTTCTCTATTAAAAATGATTGTTCTACTAGCTAGATTCCTCGGAAAAGACTCGAAAATGATATATTGCAAGATCACATTGTTTATATTGCCCCATATCTCTATATCTAGATCCTTCCTAACTGCAACTTCATTACTTCCTTGCTGGTTTTCTTGCTCAGACCTCAGACGCCTCATTGGGTTTTTAGATTTACTTAGACTTCACTGTTTCTGACTTGTATAGTAATGGTCTTATACCAGAACGTTGTCTCGTTTATCATTTATTTTGTGTTGTTGATCTTGACATTTTAGGTCTAGCACCAAACAGTAGGTCTGGACCCTTCTCTTAGCTGTTTTGGGAATCAAGTATTTCATCGTCTCTAGCAGGTACTGCAAAGGCTTGTCGGATGTTATCTTAACTTTATAAATTGATCTTGCTATATTCTTAAAAATTCTTTATAATATCTATGGACCACTTGCTGACTTTTATTTTCCTTTCTCAAAGAAACTATATGAGTGGCAAGAAAATTGGATAAAAAGCTTTGGGATTAATGGCTAGTTAGTGATACAGACCCAATCCTAAATGCATAATGAATTGCAGCAGATCAATAGAAACTCAGTCTAGAAATAAATTTGTTTTTGAGCTTACAATGTTTATCAGTGTGATGGAGTTTTAACGAGAAACACAGAGAGAGCCCTGTCTGGTTGTGTAACATTTTTTTCTGGTGGTTTACACGACCAAGATTCTTTTACTGATCATACTTTGGATATTGATTGATATGTTTTACTACTTCTGCAGTATACTAATCAGTTTGCGTCTTGGAATTCATGCAAGAATTGGTTCTTGAAGAAGGAACCCTATTTTCTTCTCCAGCTTGTGTTGAAAAAAAGAACTATTATTTGCATATCATGAACTATACAACAAATGGTCTCATACTGGAAAAAACAATTGGTGAAATCATGAATTTCTAACATTCGCTTATCTTTGATCTTAATGCTTCGCCACAAATCTGTAGGGTATTATTTTCTGATGAAATCGATCTTTATAAGATGCTGTCATCTTCCTAGCATAATCCTTTGTGATCTGAAAAATAGAATATATAGTCTCAGACTGGCCATACAATTCGTTCTATTTCATAAGGGAGCTTGGTGGTAGGTGAAGCTCTGTAATTTAAACCAGCTGCATCAGTCCAGCATAATTATATTTATACATGATTCCAGTGAAGAGTTAGGTAATTCTCGTTGTTGTTTCTGTTCTCCTCACGCAAGTTCAAGCTGTTAAATTCGGTACAAGGTAATCATTCATTCAATAAATGTGAATTCTTTCTTTGTAGTGCAACTTTTCGGATTTCGACTCTTGAAACTCACTTGTGATGTTAAGAAAACGGTCCCTCTATGCATGCCCTTGTACATGGAAACAAAGAACTGCAGCATGAATCCCAGATTTTATTGCATTCCTTAGCATTTAATGAGAAATTCTTTTTATTTTGTAGCAGCCATTGAGATCCGCAGGATTTGTTGAAGCATAATGTTCTGAGGAACTCCTATGGTTAACTTTCTTAAACCTTAGTTATTATCACATATATATGTGGGCGTAATGTGTTCATGCTAACATGGTTTCTGTCTCTGATCTGCTAGCTCCACCAGAAACTGAGAGGAGACACTAGACGTACTGCCGAGCACTTCAGTGAAAAGTTCTATATGACAAACAACCATTAAACTATTCTCTGTCCGTATCAAGACGGTTGTTTTATCGTTATTTAGTCTTGTAAGTATTGCTTTTTTTGCTTGCCAAAGGAAGTTTCTAACACAACGAAAAAATATTTGACATATGGGGAGGAGGAACTTAAAAAATCTGTAAAGCTTCATTTTTCCCATACTTGACCCTTTTTTTCCCTCTTCTTTGGCTTTTGGAAATTGGATCGAACTCATTATTCTAATGCTTAATATCATAATTATTCTTTCTAGAAACTTTTAAAACTTTTTTTTTGGAAGAGAAAAATAAATCTGACAAGAGGAATGTGCTTCCTTATCAATCAAGAAAGTTTATGATAAATGGTAACCCCCCGTTGTTGATATAGTGCTCTTGACTGGTAGGTTGAGTAGGTGTTAGTGGATATCTGTAACTCATTATTTTCTATCTTTAGCACTGTTTCTTCACCTCTTGCGTCTGGTTCCTTTCAATTCACAAAGGGTGTGAAACTAGATCTAGCTATTTTCGGCACCACAGGAAAAAAATAACTAAAATACGACATAAACTGTGGTTAGACACAAAAGACTAACACGAGCATGACAAGACTACATGAATATGTCAATCTAAATAACATGAATTATTAATATGTCAAAATTTATATAATACCTTAAGCATTATTATGACATAGGAAAATAACATGAACGTGACAATAATGCTTGATCTATGTAGATGGTTTTTAAATCTACTGAACTTGTATACCAATACTTATGCTGTAGAATTGCTTTGTACCCTTTACAGCTGCACTATTGGTGATTACAACGATATTGGTTCCTTCATTTCTTAGACTCAAGGGACCTTCCAAGGTGCTGCAGTTGCAACCATGACTATATAGCACTGATGAACTTTCAATTCAGTTATGATTTTGGTTTAGCACCAACCTGATGCATTTTCAATAGATGGCATTTGACTCTAATGCAGGCTAGCTCCTTGATAGTTGGTATGGACCGAAACTACTCATATCTTGTTATTCTTCCTCCACAGAAATTATTATTGTTCTGCTGGTAATTGGGCAAGCTTGCACCTCACGGTGTGGCTCTGAAATGTCTTGTTCAGTCGCTGTTGTTTTGCATTATACGTTCACTAACTGAGCCGAAGAGGATGAAGGAGAGAAGTTACTGTTACTGTATGGTTCTTTCTTATTCATTGATGTGATGAATGTGTGGTGACTGCATTGCCTGTCTTAGTCAGAAAGTTAGGCATATGGCTGATCCTGAATTCATTAGATATAAAGGTTTGCGAGTCGTGCTTATTTTTATGGCATGCTGTCTGCCTTAATGCTTGCGTTGAATTTCCGTCTGATTTGATAACTTATCCAATGGCGTTCAAGGTTGTTTTGGTGTGCACTGAAGCCCCTCTGTTCCTGCCACAAATAATGAAACTTTTTCATGTATTTATTCAAAATAGGAAACAGTTGATGTTACTAGGTTCACCATGCATGTCTTTCCACAATGGATATGATCCATGGATGTATAAACTGTTGATATTATCTTCTCACAGTAGAACATTGCACGAAGTGATTGAGTTTCTAAAAGACGTTAATGAAATCCAGTAATTGTGGATGATGTTGCTCTCCTTGGTTTTAGCCTTTAATGGAACAGCAGCAGGCTTTCATGTTTTTTAAGTTGACTGATTGAGAAAACACAAGATTTTGAAGACAAAATAAAGGTAGAACAGTAAGACGATGCTTAGTTCAATACATTGATTAAGGCAGCTGAGGTTTAACTTTGTTGTAATCTTTTTATTGATTTTTTTTCAATGATAACAAATGAAATAAATTTTCATATACATTTTAGTTATAATATGGAGCAAACCAGAAACATGTATATTGTTATGAATTGGATAGTAATCGCCGGTAAATAATAACAATAATAAATGGATTGGCTTATGGTTCGTTTTTTTTTGTGTGTGCGTCTTTTAATGTGGACTTTTCACCTTTTTTATATTTGAAATTTATTAAAATAGAAAGAAAGTCGTTACATATATTAATTTGACGTGTTAAATTCAGTTAATACTCGTGTAATTGCAGGACAAAATCTGTCTTACTATCTTGCCTAATCAAGTAATGTGAAATCTAATGGATATCTAACAGGGATCCGAAAGGGGTCCATTCCTCTTTGATTCGAGTATTGCATATGATTTTACATAAAAATAAGCATGAGTTTTCCAATCAAAACGTTCGTACCATTCAAAATTGGATGGATCGAGAGATTGATAGAATATATTTTTTATTAAAAAAATGATTTTATAATTTTATATTTTTTTATTAATAATCTATTTTTATCATTAAAATTTTATATGTTCACTTTTCTAACATATAGTCTCGCATATATCCTTATCTCCTCTAACACTAATTAATTAAACAACTCATAATGTAGATAATAAAATTCGGACACAACTTTAAATATCTATAAAACTTGGAAACTTTTTAGTATTATAAAAAAGGGGGAGGGGTCATATGTTGGTTGAGGGTTGAGGGTTGAGGTTTTAAGATAGATGAGGAATCATAATATGCTCCTCATATGTAGAGTGAGGGGTTAAAATATGTTCCTCCTAAAGTTGATGTCTTTGTGTGGAAAGCTGTCCATCAAAGATTGTCAGTCATTCTAGAGCTGGAAAAGCGTAAAGTTTCATGCAAGGATAATTTCCTTTGTGTATTGTGCAAAAGAGAACAAGAATCGATCAATCATATTTTGTGTTATTGTGATGTTGTATGGCAGCGTTGGTGTAGTGTGTGGAAGACTAAAATTGTATTTTCCATGAACGTTAAAGCGCTGATTGAGGTGTGGTGCAGTCAAAATGTAAGATGGAAGCTTCGTTTATGAAATTTGGGGTTCTTTGGTCTTATTTGGAATATTTGAATTTGCAGAAATAATGTCATATTTAATTAGTGTTTATTGTCGGTGGAAAAAATGTTTGATCTAGCCTTGTTTAAGATTGAGGTTTGGGCTAATAGCTCATGGCCGATGTTGATTCCATATGTTCAAGATTTTGTTAGATGCCCTGAATCCGTTATCTTAGGTGTTAGATGAAGGTGGTTCTTGAATCAAGTAGATTTTCCATGCAGCGTTTCTGGTGGTTTCCTGGGTTGTGTTCGATTTTGTTGGCTTAGGTTTTTCACTTGGAATTAGGAGTTTGCTCATTCCCCTTCACTATTGATGTTTTGATCTTGTTTCAGCTGTGCATTTCCATTGCCCTTCCATTTTTGGTTACGTTTTAATGCTTCTAAATGTAGGATATAAGCTTGGTGGGGTGGGGTTCGTGTGCTCCATGCTGCTGTACTAGCTATTTCTATTTGTTTTTCCTTATGAAGTTTGATTCTATCTCACTTCAAAGGGCACTATTTTTCCTCTATTTTGATTTAGGAAGACTTTTGAATGAGGCTCTTGGGGTAGAGTACTTTGTATTCAATTCTAATATATACAAACTGTTTTTTTTTTCAAAAAATAAATAAATAGTAAATAAAGTATTGAGTTGATCAATAATCAATCAATTACCTAATTAAATAAAGGTAATTGAATAGAGATAAGATTTCTAATCTTATTCAAGAAGACAATTCAAAATGAAAGAAGCTTCTCCTCCTCCCTACTAAATGAACCGATGAATGGACGAATAATGGAAATTTGAATATATTTTGAAATTCCGGTTTTAAAAATAATATATTTAAAAATTAGAATTATGGGAATTACGCAGATAATTAATGTGATGACTTTCTAATTTATTATTTGCGAGAGTTTATTTTATTTTATCAATAATATTTATATATGTAAAAATAACATTTTTATAAGATTATATTTATTTAATTTTTAATTTATTAAAAATACATATATCTTGCCAATATAATTAATCAAAATCTTTTTAAGAAAAATTATATTTTTTATTGTTAAGATATAATAATATATATTTCAAAAAATTAATAAGACTAAACCACATATTTAGTCACTGATTATTCATGTGGTTTTGTTTTGATCACTTATTTTTTTTAAATATTACATAAATTTATATTTTTGTTCTGTTTTAATCATCTATCTTAAAAAAATTAACGGTGATGTTGATGTGTCATCATAAGACAACAATATATTATAATTGGAAAAAAAAAATATTACGTTAGCAATCACATTTATTTTTTAACGGTGTGACCAAAATGAAATAAAAATATAAGCTTAGATACAATTTTAAAAAAATATAGTTAGATGGCCAAAATAAAACTGTTAGAATAGTTAGGTGATTAAATATATAATTTACCCTATTAAGAATGGGGGATTGGTGCTGAGTGTTGACTTGGTTACTTTTCTGAAAGGTTCTGAGGGCCGACTCAGCCTGCTTGAATTAAAATCTACATATCTTGTCTCTCATTATCGATTCTCTTATGTAAAATAAAAAAATAAAAAATAAATACAAGGAAGTGTCATTTTTTTTAATTAATAAAAATATTTTATATTTAAGAAGAGCGCTCTCTCTCTCTCTCTCTCTCTTCTCTACCTATAAATAGCCAAGCAAAACCCAAAGCCATTTGTTCATTTGATTTGCCCCCTGCTATACAAATCTGCTTCAAACTCAAAAACCATCCATCTTCATCGCCAACAAGATCCAACCTTTTTTTTCTTCTCTCTTCTTTTCTCCATATTTCTCAGTTGTATCGAAAAGAACTCAACAAAGATAACTGACAGAGCAACCAGTAAACAATGGTGATATTATCAAAACCAGCGATTGAACAGTTCTCTTATATCAGAAACAAGCAGCCAGCCGCCGCATCGTTCCCTATCGTAGACCTCTCGAAACCGGATTCCAAACACCAGATAATCAAAGCCTGTGAAGAATTCGGATTCTTCAAGGTGATCAACCTTGGGGTTCCCATGGAATTCATTTCCAGACTGGAATACGAAGCCACCAAGTTCTTCTCTTTACCCCTCTGTGAGAAAGAGAAAACAGGGCAGCCCAAACCTTATGGATACGGCAACAAAATGATCGGTCCCAATGGTGATGTTGGTTGGGTCGAATATCTCCTCCGCATGACCAACCAAGACCCCAACATCGCAACTGAAAACCCAGAAAGTTTAGGTACTTTTTTTTCTTACCAGAGATGGTATCTGTCATGTTTTGTTACGGGCTTCTGAAACTGTACATTTTGTTGTTTCCAGTGTTGCTTTGAATAAATACATGGCGGCGGTGAAGAAAATGGCGTGCGAGATACTGGAAGTGGTAGCCTATGGGCTACAGATTCAACCGAGGAATGTGTTGAGTAAGCTGATGATGAATGAGCAGAGTGACTCTGTTTTCAGGCTTAACCATTACCCTCCATGCCCAGATGTTCTTCAATCTCTGAACAGCAATGTGATTGGATTCGGTGAACACACTGACCCACAAATCATTTCGGTTCTAAGATCAAACAAAACTTACGGCCTTCAAATCTCTCTCAGAGACGGTTCTTGGATTCCAGTCCCCCCGACCAGCACTCATTTTTCATCAATGTTGGCGACTCCTTACAGGTAAAAAGAAAAAAAAAAGAAACTTTCTTTCAATCCAAACACATAAAAACAAGAAAAATTCATCCAAAAAAATCCATTTTTTTCAATGATTGTAATGGAATTTCAGGTAATGACGAATGGAAGGTTCAAAAGTGTGAAGCATAGGGTGGTGGCCAACAGTGTGAAATAGCAGATAACAGGCTCATGCACTTTGAGAAAATAGCTGCCTCTTAATCTTTCATTATTTTTATTTATTTTTTAAATAGATGAAGAAGAAGAAAAAGAAAATAGAAGTAGAAAGCTATTTAGGATCAAATTCTCCTACAGTTGGGAATAGAAATTAACTATGTAATTTTTACTTTTTTCTCCTTTGGTTTTTGACTGTTATGGGGTTTGTTTTAGCAAATGTAACTTTCTTGTTAATACAGTCGATTTTTCATTCCCATCATTATCACCAACCACTTCCATAAATAAAAGCAAACTAATAAGGTGATGAATTGTTAAACGTGAGTCAGTGAACTATTTCGGTTGGTTAATGATTTCATTGATTATTAAAAATAGGTTAAACTACATAAATGATCACTAATATTCGAGTAAAATTTTGTTTTCCCCGTTAAAGTTTCAAAAAGAACAAATTAATCACTAATATTATTAATTTATAAGATATTGGTCACTAAACCTTAAACTTCATTAACGTGGGTGACGGAAAGCTTACCCGGCTGTTAACCATTGACGCGGCAACCTTTTTGTTTGCTTTCTTCATCACGCTCAAGTTCCTAGTTCTACTTTTTCTGCTATAAAAGTCTTCTCTATGTTGCCATGCCAAATCAAGATTATTAATCTCCCTTCGCGGATCAAAACGCTCCATTTTGATATGCAAATTATATGATGAGCCAGCATCAAAGTCTTGAAGAGGATAAGAACTCTCTTGATTTCCATAACTCTCCCACATTACCACATTATTGCCACCTGAAATCCACTTCTCCAATGGTACTTCAAGCTCCACTATCACATCTTCCTCTTTATCATTAATCAGAAATGGCAATGGTAATAACCTTGTTCAAGAACCCAAGACTCCACCTCTTCAACCCGACAAT